ATGCTACCATACGACAATACCATTGTGTACTGATTAATCTAACGATCTAAGAGATGTAAAGTTTGTATTTCCAAATAAGTGAGCAGTTATTGATTATTTTCTAGAATAAGCCTGCTAATTGTAAAGCTGTAAAGCTGAATTGTAAGCTGTATCCCGTCGCAGTTTCAAGCTGTAAGCAGGATGACAAACTCCTCGCCAAGATGTGTAATCCTTTCGGTAAGACACACATGCTTGACGACTTTGAAACACTTGCTACTGTTGTCGATGGTTCGAATACCCTCCCAGCAAACAAACTGATGGGCAAAAATGTTCGGGACAGAGCCAAGACTCTATTGACGATCTGGGTCAAGCAGATGTGGGGAAACTTGTTCGACCGAGCCGAACAAGCGACTGCAAATGCAAGTCCAAAGAAAGCACCGGCCAAGGCACGAACCAACGACCCTCTTGCATTGGCAAGGGAAGCCAAACGAAGGAGAATCGAGGATATTCTTGTGGAAGAAGGAGTTGACCCAATCCAGAAAGGAATCGACAAATGGTTAGACGAAAAGTTCAACTTGTTGGATGCTCTTTGGGCTCAGAAGCGGAAGCCTATCGGTAAAGATGTTCTGTTTACACTTGGCAATGAACCATTTTCATGGTTGGACAACATTGAAGTGGTGAAAACCTACTTTGACTTACAAGAATGGTGGGAGACAACTGGCAAAACCAACCACCCAATCATCTTTGAAGTTGCTGTGCGCATCTTTGCAATGCCAGATAGCAACGGCTTCCAAGAAAGAGTTTTCAGTTCTTGTACATGGTTTGATGGAAAACTCAGCAATGGACAGAAGGTTGACATGACATTCCAAATGCGCCTTCTTTGCTACAAGAACAGTGCATTCATCCAGAACTACAAGCAATGCATCAATGATGCAAGAAAGGAATGGGCTAAGAATAGGACCAAGGATCTCCTCAAGCTAACTGCCAGCAAATGTGAAGAGGAGGATTATGACAGTGATATTGATGCCATGATGGACCTTTACAACAAGATTGATGAGCCCCCAGCCCAGAACTAGAAAAACCTAGATAATTTCCCTAAGTAATTGATTTATGAGTACTCAGTGAGTACTCTATAGTACCCACAAAGTACCTGTACTCACATGATACCCGTACTCACTTGATCCTGGGAATTGTGAGTATTGCCCAGTACCCATACTCACTTGACTTTGGAATTGCGAGTACTACTCAGTACCCATACTCACATGCTAAAACAGTGTGAGTACCACGCCCTGATTCTTCTAGCTAGCTAGCTAGAGTAGCCAGCCATCTGTTCCTCTTTTGGCTGGGCTACCTGTATTAGGGCTAGAGCGAAAAAGTGACTACTAGCAGACAGAGACAAACATACAAACAAAATTCGCAATCGCCCCACATCCGTTGAGGGCAACACTTGATTACCCAACGAGCGCCGCCAACGAGCGCCGACAAGCGGCGCTCGCCTAGAGCAGCACTGCACGACTAGTAGAGTAGTGTAGTAGGTTAGGGTGGTGGAGAGACTCGGCCATTTACTGAGCCGACCGTCTCCGCAACCCAGGGGTGCCGCTCGTGATTGCTAGAATCGCGAGCGGGAACCAAGGCACGAATGAGGCAGTCCCGGGGGATTTGGAGTCCCGCGTGATTGTGCGACATTCGGCCAACCCAGGGAGGGAGAGTTGGGTTAATCTATTCTAGTTCTTGCTTGCAGCTCGGCTGAAGGAAGAATTGTGAGCAGAGAAGGAGACAACCTTCTTGCGATCGACTTTTCAATGGCTGAAAGAGAGAGCTGGACCGGTCTTGCGTGTTGTGTTCATTCAAGGTTGCTAGCTGTGAGCGGTCTTTGAGGGGTGCTAGTGCCTTAGAGTTGATCTTGCGAAAGAGGCAGACATAGCGACATGTATGTGGGGTATCCATTTCAGGAACGCAGGTGATGACCTGAGAGATGTAGAGTTGTACTTGATTTGTAGGAGCAAAGTGTGGGAATCGATTTGTATCTTGTGAGATGGTACCAGTCTGGCAACTGTGAGTCGAGTCATTCATCGAAGAACCCCTGAGGGTTCAGGTTTCCACGCCGGTCAGCGTGGATGGATAGGGATCAGGATTGTTGTCCTCATTGGCGTGCGGCTGCTCGACAACGAGCGCCGACAAGCGGGGCTCGCCTAGAGCAGCACTGCACGACTAGTGGAGTAGTGTAGTAGGTTAGGGTGGTGGAGAGACTCGGCCATTTACTGAGCCGACCGTCTCCGCAACACAGGGGTGCCGCTCGTGATTGCTAGAATCGCGAGCGGGAACCAAGGCACGAATGAGGCAGTCCCGGGGGATTTGGAGTCCCGCGTGATTGTGCGACATTCGGCCAACCCATAGGCAGTGGTAGCAGCAATAGTGTGCTGCACAGTATCCTCAGGTAGATTGAGGAAGTAGGGTCGGACATCCTTTACTGTAGGGCGTTTGGCGGTAGTTGCTGTGTGGTTGAGGTGGGCTGTGATGGAATTTTCCCAGGTTGCAAATTCACTCTGGGTCAATGACTCTTCCACAAAAGTTTCAGGGTTCCACACCATGGGGCTAGTTATTTCATAAGCTCTAAGTGTGGATAATTCTTCCTCTGTGGGCCTTCTGATGGGGAAGCCCAGCAAGGCTCCCCTGACATAGAGAGGGATGACAATATCATCTAGAATGATGCAAGAGTCTCCACCGTGGCGCCTGGCAGTGTCACTAACATAGAGGCCAGCTTCTCTCATCTGAAAAGCTGATAGTAGTGTTGTAGCCTGCTTGTGGATTGTAGCTTCATGGTACCGTAGTAGGATGGTACCTTCTGTGGGGTGATCGTAGGCGGTAACCCCAGATCCAATGGGGACATCAGAGTCTTGAACAGAGTTGCTGTACCCTGTAACATCCACCTTGCGGTCTGTGAGCGTTTCAATGATCCAAGCAGGTCCACCGATGGAGCCAGTGTCGGCACAGCTGTCTACCAGCGCCTCGTCGGATGCGTTTTCACAAACTATTTTTTCAGAGGCAACGGAGGCTCCAAGGGTCCTTGCATTGATATTCCGTGGCACAACGGTCAAAGAACGACTCGAAACGGAGCTTTTCGGAGCCGGAACGGTCGATTTTGGCCGTTCCAGCGCACCGTAGCGCGTCGGAGGGCCGTTTTCGACCAAAACGGCCGGTTCTCGGCCATTTTTCACTCGATCGAGGTCGTTCTTGGTGTCAGATGGTGTAGACATACCCTCTGGTAAAGCCTCTAGAAGGGTATCTTGGTCCTGCGTCTTGGGGCCAAGATTCGGCTTCGGGATAGTTGATTGTGTCATTGAATTCAATGCATTAAGTCGGCGGAGCTGTGGCAACAGTTGTCCAATGGGCTCATTCTCATGCTCTAGAAGACACCAAATAATCAAGGATCTCATCACCCGGCATCGGCACTCCACATAGCTTTTATTGTTGAGTATATATTGGATAAGAAGGGTCTTGTAGTGCTCCTTCATATCGGCCGTGCAGGCCACAGTTCTGGTGCCAACATAGCCATCTTCATCTAGCTGCAAAAGATGAAATAATATTGGGCCTGTGCAGTGGAATCGGTCTGGGGGTGTTGGCCCCGCACTCCCCAAGGAACAGTCATGTTGTTGCGTGGTACGGGCTCTCCAGGACCGCGAGGATCATTGGGATCAATATTATTATCAAAATATTCATCGGACCATGTAAAATCCCGCGTTTTGAGGTCGTCCCACATGGTTTCACTGTATTCTGGCCTGGCTACCATTTCGATTTTTTCGATGGTCCAGGGGCTGAAAGTTGGGTTGGGAATGATGTTGGCTCCCTCCAGACAGACTCTATCGATGATGGGGTGAGCTTCCCGTACCCTCCAGTAGTGTTCTGGGTGGGAGAGGTCTCTGAGTCCGAGCCTCACTCCCCTTTCAACGACTTCCATGCCAGGGTGTTGGTTCCGACGAAACATGTTCTGGCGCCGGCCAGGGTTGGAAAAAATCGATTGGGTCCCTTCATCTTGGTTACCACCGCTAGTTTGTGAATTGTTGGAGTCGTTGGAATTGTTGTTGCCGTTTTCTGCGGGATGCGAGGTGTTGGTATTATTCTGTCGGGCCTGTTGGTTTGTGGATTGTCCCTGGGAACCAGAGTATTGGTTGCCATACTTTTTCTTGTCCTGGTCCTTATGTTCTAGGACCCACTTCTTGTTTTCAGGCGTCATCTGCTTCCAGGCCTTGCTAGAAAATCCACTTCCTGGTGGAGGGCCACCAGTTCCTTGTCCATTATTTTGCTGGTTGTTATTGTTGCCGGTCCCAGCCTGGGAGTTCAACTTGGCAAGCCGGCGCCGCTCTTTCTTTTCCTTCTTCTTTTGGGCACCGGTCTTTTTGTTGCTTCTCCTATTGCCAGAGTTGTATCCATTGTAGCAGTTCTCCTTCCTTGCTTTGTTGGTCAACCTCAGCTTCAGGTCCTCCAGGGAGTAGTCTGTGTAGTGGTCAAGGATGTTTTGGAATATGTCATCCTCAATACCACTCACAAAAAGGTTTCTCTGCAGGAACTCAGGTAGGGCCACCCCACAACCTTCAATCTCAACAACCAATGTCTCAAACTTGGACTCATACCAGGAGTAGCCTCCCCTGGTTTGCTTGTTTAGCTTGAGGTGTTGGAGGGTCTCCATCCTGTTGGAGGCATTCAATTCTTTGTCACCTCCATGCTCATAGACCTCCACCAATTTTCTCCAGGCTAGGCAGCCATCCAGGGTATTCAAGTAGGCATGGACCTTGGAGAAGGCAGTCCCACCCTCTGTCTTCAGGACTAGGATGGAGAAGAACTCCTGAACTTCAGCATCGTAGGCAGGATCCTTCTTCCTTCTCTTCAGGTGCTCCTTGATATCCTTGTCATCCTTGACGGTAAGGAGATGCCCCTTTCGCATCAGGGAGCAGATACTTAGGGCAGAAAGGTGGAAGGACTTCCAGTGGTTTTGTTTCCCATCAAAAGCCTTGAAGTCAGACATGCTGGCCTTCACCATTGGTTTGGTGGTGAGTGCAGAGCTGGAGAAGGAGGCTAGATGTGAGTCTAGGGTCCCATCCTCAGTGATGGAGGGGGGACCAGCCTTCTTGGTCTTGGGCTTGGGCTTGGGGGCTTCATCTTCTTCAGGTTCAGAATCTTCAGGGTCATCATCACTGCTTGAGTCTTCTGGGTCACTGTCACCACCATCTCCAGCACCCCCCTTTTTGTCAAGCTTGAACTTGACCACCTTGGGCTTAGACCCCTTAGAGTCCTCAGTTCCAAGGTTGGATTCAGTCTCAGCTCCACCAGATTCAGTCTTCTTGGTGGATCCTTTGGATGGGGGTGTGTTGTAGCCATCCTTCAGAGTTTCCTCTAGCTCTTTCTCAGCTCTGGCCTTGCTATCCTGCAACTTCAAGAGCTCATACTCAGCTAGGGCTGCTTTCTTGGCTTCGCGGGCCAAGTCAACCTCCTCAATCCACTTGTCCTCGTAGTGTTCCTCGATTTGGTCAGGTCCAAAGTTCTCCTTCCAGTCTCCCAATTCGATATCCATCTTGCGAGGTCTTCCAGTGGTGGATCGGTACTTCCAAGTGTTGAGGGCTTGGGTTAGGGCATCCAGCTGTTCGAGCTGTACCCAAGTGATCTGCTCGGGTATCCCTTCTTCCTTCCACTCCTCCGCGGCCTTCTTGCTGAAGTTGCGGATCAACTTGGTAGGGGTAGTGATACTCATACCCCAAATGAACAGTAGTAGTTCAAGGGAGCACTCCCCGCATTCCATCACGAGGTACTCCATGATTTCGAAGCTCTTCCTTTCCCTGGGGGTCATTTCCGCGATGAAGCCGGCCAAAGCTTCATCCCTTGCTAGGTCCAGGCTGGCCTTGGAAGGGCTGTCTTCATCTTCAGATGCCATCTTGTCAGTCACTCAGAACTACACGACTTTTAGTCTGGCAAAGTTCTCTTGTTCAATCCTTCCCTCAGTAAGGAAAGGCTCTTAGTCAGTCTGCCTGAGATCTACTCAGGACGGTCTTGAAGGGTAAGTTCAGTGCACACAACAGGTGCAATAAAGTGCTACAGATGCAATACTCACTCCTGGTCAACAGGAACACTTTATACTTATGTTAAACTAGTAATTGTGAGCTCTCAGGGCTCCTAAAGTCAACTACGGTGTCAGGTTTCGAGTGCCACGAAATGGGGCTATCGTGGTGGCCGAAAATGCACTTTCGGCTATCTTTCGGCCTCCGAATTTCCTACCGGTACATACCAGACAACCAAATATCATCACATAAGGACCTTCTTAGGCCATCTTCTCATAATGGGCTCCAATACATAGGAGTCAAGCACAAAGTTACATGTGCAGCAAGGCCACAGGGACATAGAACAATTTAGTCTTGTAAAGCCAAATTTTGGCAGCAGGGCTGCCATACATTGTTCCAGAGTGACAGACAATCTGAGAAACCAGCACAGTTGTAAAGACATTCAGAGACCAACACTCTGACAAACCAACAGTGCTGGATTCACATCATGGGGCTCCAAACCAAATCCTGTCAAAACTATAAGCTGGGACACCTACTTTTTCAAGGGAAGCCGAAAACCGAAGCGCTTCCCCTCTGGATCTGTCACTACAAGAACAACAACACTAATAGCAACAAACACAACCAATCGGTCATACCTATACCATTACACTACCTATAGCACCATTAGAAGCATTGAAACGAAGCGAAAGGACCTCAGGAAGCCTGTTTTCTGTTATCTTGTTGAAGAGTACTGTTTTACTATAGGATTCAACTCAACGTCATCACGGAAAACATACACCCTTTTTCCTCTTTTACACCTATTCAAGCCGAAAAGGATCGATACCTCCTATCTCCTATCAAGCGCACCTCCTCTATCAAGCGACTATCAAAGCGGCCTTCTCCGGTTCAGATTAGAAAGCCATCCCAATTAAATCCTACAGTCGGCGGTTTTCTATTCTCGACCCGACGGCCAAGTTGGAAAATTTGAACACAAGAAGAAGTCTCCGGCCTCCAGCACAGTACAGAAAACAATTTCCATACGTATTTGTTTGTTTTCTGAACTCCGCTCCTGACGGCCGACGAATCCCATTGTCGATCCTCTTTTTCGCGATCGACGATCGCTTCTTCCTCAACAACAACAGGCTCGTTAACCTTATCCCTAAGGCAACTGACTCATCGAAACGCGAAATCCTCCGAATCGAATCGATTATACCTGGTAATCGAATCGAATCCAAGACTCACTGATCCGTGAATCGATCGATCTTCCCGCGACCGTACCTCTTCTCCGTACCTCCTCTTCCTCCGTACGGATCGAACGACAGCCTCCTACTATCAAGCAGGACTTCACGAGATACCTGCAGTGACCACCGAGAAGAGAATTACACCTGTATTCTTACTTTCTCACCGGCCACTAGTGGTTTCTCCCGACGTCTTGTTGGAACTGATCCTACTGATCCAACCAGTCCTATCCCTATACGACTGATTGACTGATGACACCTCTGTTACACATTGATATCTAACTCCTCACCAAGAGGACAACAAACAACAACAGAGTTCCTGTAAGGACTTGAGTTCAAGAGTACACCGGCTGCATAGAGCCCCCTGCAGTCAGTCGTCCTCCTAAAACTTTATCACCAGGCTTGGCTGACTCTCATCGTTCAACAGCCCCTCCCTGGGATATCCAACCCCTCTCCACAGGATCCTACCCCACAAGAACAACTACAAAAGCTCCCCTCTAGCGTTTTTGGCTAGATTGTGCAACACTTCATTGACACAGCCACCTTCTGCTACTGCACCTGACTCTCCTACGGAGGTGGTGCTCCAAAGGATGAGCCCCAGACAGAACTGCGCGTGGTGTGGCATAGATATTAATACATAACTGACTCTATCTTCTCTCATTGATTGTTTGAGTGACTCTCCAGTGACTTTCCACAGTCCCACCTGAATCGAGTACCCTCTCCACATCTTGGCTTGACTCTCTGTTGCATGTCTGACCCTACAACAGATGGAGTACCAGCCCTTGAGACAAAACAGTGTCACCAGTAACAAAGCCCCATCAACCAACAACCCCTTGATTCCCCCACCCTGCCTCTACTGCTATAGCTGACTTCTCCAGTTTTCCCTGAAAGAATCCCTAACAGCCTTTGCTCTGATACCATCTTCTCCTGCAGGTATTGGTATACCTGCACCAGACTTGGCCACAGCCTTTGATCCAGTGAACAACAACCCAACAACTTGTATAAACCTTGATTACCATGCCTCAGTGCATTGCCCCTTGAAACACCCTTCTACATCAATCATCTCGCCACCCACAAGCAACCTCCATTGCTTGCGTTGAAGCAACGACACTACAGTCAATACTCCAGGATACACAACTCTCCCACCACCCACCTACCACCCACCATAATTCCCCATGTCTACCCACTACTTCACTCAAACCCAAGGTCCTCCCAGACATTCCCCCACCTCCACACTTCACCCAACCACCACATCCACCATCCTCCGCAGACTACACAACACCACTCCCCAGATGATCAGCCACAAGCTCCTAGAGCATGCAGCATCTTGAGGATCACACCTTCCGAATCAAACCCTACCCTATCAGGGAGGATGCCTTTGTTCTCACCCTTGAACAGGACAGCCTCTATCCTAAACACACCATCAACCATGCTACATCCCAACTCCTACAACAAACACTCAACCCAACAGATCTCCCCTCCTGCCCCTGGCACCAGCCACTCCAGTGCCCCCTTATCTCCTTCTATTGACTCAAAACCCCTCGAACAGCCCAAAACACTCCAGCAGCCACTGTGCCTCCCTCCTGGGAACCACACACTGCCAGTGTGTCATTTGCCCCATCTTCTGCCTGCTGTTGGCCTCTATCTAACAATTTTTGTGCATTGGATGGGTTAACCCTGCTCTGGTCCAGCCTGAGGAGTACACCTCCTACGGGCTCTGTGGCATCTTGCCTTGCATGCCAAGGCCCTTGCCACAGCTTGGGACCTGATCACCCAGACACCTTACTGGCGACACTCTTTGGTCTGGAATCTACTGGTCCTCACGTCCCTTTGGTGATCATGTTTCAATACCGACAAAAATCCTGTGATAAGCCCCTGTAACCCAGGTTTTGCGCTGCAGGTTCCCATCAATGTGCTCACCCCCCTACCCAGGGCATCTGTCTACTTGGTGCTGGCTCCACGTTGGGCCAGTGGATGAGGTCATGTTGATTGGGCACATAAGTAGATGACGACTCAGCTAGGTGGGGGCTTCCCCACCACTTGCCCGCGTCATAAAAGCCACTCCGTGGCCATAGTTTGCTAAACTAATGAGTATTTTACACCCTATAAGCTGGGACACCTGGAGAGATTAGTCCCAAGGGACCCAATGCGGCTCTCTGGCTAGAGAGGCACGGAAGCAATGATGCCGGTGTGGTTGTTGCGTGGACATCAGTTAGCACTGGTAGGCATTGGATGGCCGATTCATGACATCAGACCAATGGGAGGTCGGTGTGTAGCTGGTAAACTTAGAACTGTGGTTGATAGTCCTGGGTGAGTAGCATGGGCGCGAAGGTGACTGTAACCTATGACGTGCTGCAGATGACGATGATTGAAAGTCAGCAACTGACTGGGGAGAGTGCTGCCCCAATCGTTGAGTCAGTGCCTTGACGGTGGTCTTCACAGGAGAGTGCTGGTATCGAATTCTGGTGGTGCTTTCATCAGTGACTGTGATGCACCAGAGGCTGCATCGATGTTGTTGGCTGAGCTGGTGGGCACAGGAGCAGACGGTGTGACCGGTGTGGATGGAGAAGTGCAAGCAGGAAAGCCTGTTGCGTAACCTTCACCAGAGCCACTATCTGAAGTGCTGAAATCTGTAGCAGAGGAACTGGGTGTGCTTCGAAGCTGTGCAAGTTGATCGTAAAGAGACAAGGTTTGGGCTGACATTGCTTGCTTCAATGTGGGCCTGGCTACCACGGTGCTGTCAGGCTTGAATCTCATGGAGCTTGCTGTGATGTTGTAGGAACTCAAAATGCTGGGTAACAAGTTGGGTCTGATATGCGGCGCTGTGTGTTTGTTTATCTGGGCTTGGTGATGTTGTTGCTGCTGGATCAGTTCAGCTTCCAAGGAACATATGTGCTAGGACTGGGATTGGGACTGGTTATGTTGTTGCTGCTGGTTAAGTTCAGCTTCCAGGGAACAGACGTGCCAGGACTGTGTCTCAATGGTTGCTTTATGGCGGTCAATCTTGGCCATTGCCAGTATTAGAACATCTGGATACAAGGGACTTGAAGGACACATGTTGAGTGGGGGTGGGCGGAGAGCATGCGTAATGCAGGTTGGCCCAGA